CCGGGGGCGGGTCAGAGGGGTCATGGGGCTGAGGCCAGGCAGCTGCTGACCGTTTCCGGTGTCAACATCATCTGGACCTACTTCCAATTCCCGGGATTCCTCAGGGATCAAGGAGGGGGTGGGAGGTGGGGCTGCTGGGCCCTGGACCGCGGCTTGGGACTGGGGGGGCCCCGCCGTCATGGCCCTCACCGCTAATGACAGGTTTGGGCTGCCTCTGCGGCCCGCCTGCCCCGTCACCCCCCAGAGGCCAGACAGGACCCCCCAGGGACAGACAGACGGACACACACACAGCCTTGGACCTGCTGACCTCACACCAACCAGCCCCACCTTGCTCGGGGGCCAGCACATGAGCAAGGACCCTGGGCTCCCTCCTCATGTCCCTGCAACATCTCCCTGCCATGTCTGTGACCAGCCCTCAGAGTCTGGGGCATGGCATCCCCCATCCTTGTCTCTTAACCTCTGAACTTGTCTCTTTGGGTCTCTAGATTTCCTTGTTTTCGCATCTCTTTTTCTCGTCTATAGACTCTGCTCCATCTATACTTATGCTTGTTGGTGTCATCTTCTGTCATTGTTTGAGATCCCCAATCTGCCTCTCAGCCTCTTTACCTCTCTCCCTCTCTACCCCTCTTGGCCCTCCTCGGCACAGACATACCTCCAGTGTCTCCCACCTGAAAGAAGTCCCAGGAGTCCTAAGAAATACCCACTCCTGTCTTGCACCTACCCGTCTCCCTCGGCCTCCTGCACCCACCTGAGAGAAGATGACCCCATAGGCCCAGGGCAATGGCTGAGGCAGATGGGGGAATGGCCCCAGCCAGGGACACAGACAAGTCTCAGATTTCTGATCTCCAGTAGAGCATTCCCCAGATCTCAGAATGGAGACACACTTGTCTCCACCTTTCTAGAAACAAGGGTTCACAGCCTGGACTCCTGACACCTGCATCTGAGGGAGGAGGCTGGGGGCCTGGACACCCAGGTCTGAGGGAGGAGGCCGGGGGCCCAGACACCCAGGTCTGAGGGAGGAGAGACTGGGGGCCAGGTCCCCTGGGTTAATACAGGGCTGAGGCTGGCACCCCAGGTTTCTCTGTAGGTAGAAGGGGCCACTGTGACCATATCCCTATTGTTGCATTCAGGTTGGCCTCAGGCCCAGTCCCCATCCCCTCAGGCCAGTCTATCCCCCAGGCCGGTGGCCTGAGTCACCTTGGCTGGCCCCGCCGGTCTGGGGGGGGGCTACGTCAGTTCTCCCCTCACTGACGCAGCCTTGGGCCCCCCCACGCTGACTCAGCCGGAAACAGGCCCCCTGAGGGGCGGAGACCCAGTGGTCAGAAGCCTGGGTCCCAGTGGGAGCAGGAGCTGGAAAGGGCCCCTGGGGGGCCATGGAAGGGGTAGCCATGACATATCAAGGGCTTGCTTACCTGAGGCGATGATGTCATGTCCCACCATGGGGGGCTGTGACCTCACCTCCCTGGAGACCTGAGCAGTCACCCCCCCCAGTGGTGGGGGATGACTCCAGCTGCCATTCATCCCTGGAGCCCCCCTGCCAGCTCAGCGCAGTCTGGGGCCAGGAGTGGGGCTGCAGGGAGGCCTCTGGAAGTGCTCATCACCTTTCCTCTTCTTACTCCCATCCCATCTTTCTCTGACACCTCTGTTCTGGGGTGGGGGGGGGCGGCATGCTCATAGGGACTTGGGTTTGTGTTTCAGTCCCTCAATGGCTCTGCGATGAACCCCAGGCCACCTCTGCCCCATATACCTGGCACTCACAGACTGTGTGCCTGGGTTAGCATCTCTGTCCCCTGAGTCTTGTCTCCCTCTCCTGCTCCAAGACTTGTCCGTGTGGCCATCTCTGCATAGCCAGCATCCCCCTGCCCTGTCCGTCTCCAGCTCTCCACTGAGCCTCTCTAGCCAGGTCTCCATCGCCCTCTCTGCCTCACCATCTAAGTCTCCCTCAGTGGCTACATCTTTCTGTCTCCCTGGACATGTTAATAAAAATCCACAAGAACAGCAATGGTTTGCACTTATTGTGAGCTGACTGTGTGCCTTACATGAGTGAACTCATTTTGTCCACACCGAGGCATCAGGGTGTGGGGTGGATACCCAGTTATCCCCATTGTACAGGCAGAAAACTGAGGCTCAGAGGGGTGAAGCCTCTCCTCAATGTCTTGTCTTTCTAGCTTGGTCCCCTGTCTGTCTCTGGTTCTCTCACCTTCTTGTCCCTACCTGTCTCCTGAAGAAAGGCTCTCCCTCGCTCTGCCTGCATTGCTGACTCCTGACATCTCCATTTCTGTGTCTCGGGCTTCTATCTTTGCTGCCCTGCTTTGGTGTCTCCATTTTTTTCTGTTTCTTCTGCCCCCTACATTCCCCCTGAGACTGGGTGTCTCTGTCTCTCTTCCTCCTGGGGTCTCCCCAGTTTTCTCCAAATCTCTCATGTTGCCTTCATCTCTCTAACTCTGGAATCCTCCTCTCCTTGCAGAGTAACTGCTAGTGTCTCTATCTCTCTGTGGACCACTGTCTCTCTTATCTCTGAATCTCAGACTCTCCATCTCTGTCCCATGACCCCATCCCCCTGTGCTTCTCTTGTCCCCTTGCCTGGGTCTCAGTTTCTCCACCTCTCTTTCTGCCCCTTGGAGGCGCTCCCCATGGAGCTTCCATTTCCCCAGTCCCGCCCCGTTGTCCCACCACC